CAGTCTGTGCCAGGGTAGTGTCTGGCCAGAGTAGTGGGGCTTGGCCAAGGAGGGTGAGGTCTGGGCCACAAATGAATAGGTCCTGACCAAGGAGGAGTGAGGCCTTCAGAAAGGGGCAGGGCTTTTAGAGGACCAAGCCTGGCCAGAGACAAGGTAGGCAAGAATCAATCACACTTTGGTGAAAGGGACATGAAAGCCAGGCATGGTGGTGCATGCCTATAATCCCAGCATGTGGGTGGAGGTGGAGGCAGGAGGGTCAAGATCATCCTCAACTACATAGTTAGCCCAAGACCAGCCTGGACTGTACAAGACTGTCTTTAAAAAAAAAAAGGAAAAAAATGTAGGGGATGTGAGAAATATAATTAATCCCAGCTACTCAGAAGGCTGAGGCAGATCACAAGTTCAAGGCCTCCTTGAGTTACAGAGTGAGTCCAAGGCCAACCTGAAAAACTTAATGAGACCCTGTCTAAAAGCGAAAAACAAAAATGAAGACTGAGGGTCCAGCTCCGTGGGAGAGTACTTGCTTGGTGTGTGCAAGGCCCTAAGCTCAGTCCCCAGTACCACAGATCAGTGAACAGAGTTTGAAGCCATCACTAGAGGAGGAATGTGGCAGGGCCTCCCATGCCCAAAAGTGCCTGAAAAGCTGCCCCTCCCCAGAATGGCTGACTGAGGTGATTCTGAAAATACCCACATGTACCAGGAAAGCCTGCTTGAGAACTCTGTCCCGGCGGGAGGGGGAGACAGCACAAAAAGCACCCAGGACACAAAGACCTCTGAAAAGTCAAAGAAAGGCCTTAAAGGACAGGTCCTAAATGCACAAGAGGCCAAGAAGGACAGCTGGTCTGAGCACATTTGCCTGTGCAGCAGGAAGGGACAATGAAGAGTCTCCCAGGAGAGTCTATAGGTCCATGCCAAGAGTACTGTATGCCTGAGGGGTCCTGAGCCCTCCACGGGTACCAGTCCTTCAAGGCCATTCTTTGACTTTTCAGAGGCCTTTGTGCCCTGGGTGCCTCTGGTGCTGAAGATGGCAGAACAGCCACGCAGTTGTTGGTAAGGGGAACTGGGCAGGGTTGGAAAGGGTGAAAAGAGGCCAACAGGGCTTACACTCAGAGGACTCGCTGGGCACTTCCCTGGCAACCTCTGAATCTGGAAATGAGCACCCATCCCAGAAGATTCTCACCCTAGGCAAGATGGGAGGACCTGGCATTGAGTGACACCTGGCTAGACAAGGAGCCAAGACCCTCACCTACCCTTCTGCCATTGATCAAGATGTGTGGACACTCAGCTTCTCATCCATAAATACTAACAAGTGGTTCCTCCACACCATAGAGCCACCACAGTGAAATGAGGGATGGTTCCTAACACATTCCAAAGAACTCTGTGCCAGAGACAGGTAGCTATGCCAGGGAGGCTCATGTGAGAGCCTAGGTGGCCACAGGTCTCCTAGGTCAGCCTACTGTTGGCATAAAACCACTGTGAAAATCCAACTGGTCCCTTGTGTCCCGTCCTCTAGCAAGCTCCAACTAAGAACTTGCAACACTAGTGATTTATCTGACAAGGCATTTACATTTTCAGGGCAAGGCCAAGGTTTTAACATAGAAGAAGTTCAGGAAGGGAAGGACAGATGATGACCACACATCCACCCTAGGCAGATGAAGAAGGGTCTTCCCACCTGAGTAGACCCCAGAGAGGTGACGACACCATAGCCTGCCCACTCAGGGTGGCTCTTCCTTGGCACTGGGCAGCCACAATTTCCAAGATGTTGGTGAGGAATCCCATGATTTACTGACACTAAGCAGCTACGCAATACGGGGCAGTAGGTAGAGAGTTGGCTGGTATGTCAGATTAAAACAGCACCCTCTGAACACAGCTCAGGGAACCTGGCTACAAACTGGGCCTAGGCCACAGCCTGGTGAGTGAGCCTAGAAGCTTTCCACAAAACCCCCAGGTCCCACATCCCCGGACTGGCTAAAGTCAGAGCATCAACGTATGACTATAACTGCCACATCCCTAAAGCTTTCATCTCTTCTCCTCAAATGCCTTTTCGAGGACCTGTCCATGAGAGACAGACCAAGCAGGTCTCCACTGCAGACCTAGCACACATGGCTCCCTGGCCCCTCAGGGCTCCCATCCCACCCTGCAACCAAAGGCTGACTCTGGAAGGGAGGCACCGAGTTAGGCTGGAGCCTTCCTGACACTGAGTCCCTAGGCATTAGTAGCCCCACAGCTGCTGAACAGTGCAGTTTCGAATTCAATTAAAGCGATTATCTGTTGTGCCAAATAAATTGTGTACAGCATATATCCTGCAGCGCTTTACACCTCCAGGCTCATTATTCCCTAACTGTTTCCTCCTGTTTATGCGCTCTCAAATTAAATTGCTGATAATATGCGCCAAAATAAAAAATGAGCGCACCTTGTCCCAAGAAAATTGATTCTCCTTCTCCTGAACTGGCGATTGCCACACTTTATATAGTCCGTTCCTGGTGATCATTAGTAATTCAATTTTCTTTTTATTAGCCCCCTTATCTGCTGAGCAATATAGTGGCAGGGCTGACCTCTTTCGCACGGGTAAATGTTTAAAATCTTTTCCCTGATTAATTTTGCCAGTTAAGAAAAAGAGAAGAAATGGCCCGGCTCTTAGCCATCACAATGAATAAAGCTTAATGTTGATTGTGATGGAATTTCTAATGCCAGGGAAATTGATTGAACGCGGCAATTACGCTGCAAGAGTAACTCGAGGGAGATGGGATCGCTTTCTCCTGGCCGTAGCCTTTTGGTTATTTAAAACAATCCAATTTGCAAGGATAATTATGTATTAGTGTTTTATCTGCCACTTGAAATGAACAGGGGAGTTTCGATACTGGCCCAGCATTAGCAGGTTATTGCTGCAAATTACTTGATATCTGCTTTCTTTCACATAAAGAGGAAATTAGGCAATCAATTACCAGAAAAAGGTGGATGAAGAAGGGATAAGAGGGGAAAGTGCACCCTCTGCTGGCTGTTAGACCACTCAGTAGGGCAGAGGTAGAGACCTGGGGGGAGGGACCAACCAGCAGCTGCCAGGCCACCCACTCCTGGGTACAGAGTCTACCAGGCAATTGGGTATCTCCCTGGACACCAGCGCACCAAGAGATCAAGAATCAGGGCTGAGCATTTTCTGGGAGGGAAGCAAAAAAAGAGTATTCCAAGCAAGCAGACAAAGGGGCAGCCCCTATCCACTGCCCTGTCCACTGGAAGACCCTGCCCTCTAACAGTCACATGAGCCTGGGGTTCTACTCCTTAGACACAGAAGAGCTCCACTTTTCGATGTGGAAACCCCCTCAGCCCAGAGATGCAAGCCTGGCCAGTGCCTGGAACATCCTTCAGGATGGAGCTCTTGGGCAAGCAGGGAAAGAGGCAGGCTGAGTTTCGCAGGAGGGGGCTGAGGAAGCAACATGCCTGTTCCTGGTATAAGCCAAAGGCTATCCATGCCCAGCCCAGAGAAATCACTGTCCTCACTTTCCTCTCCTCAGTCGAAACCCTGGCCAGGCCCATCTCCTGTGAACAGCCTCCCAGTGGCCTCTGCCTGTCTGGAGTTTTGCAGTGGCAGTCTCTGGGGCCACCTGCCTGAGTGGCCATAGTAGGCACAGGCTCAGCCTGCTTGAGAAGATGAGGCCCCTCCCCCGGCCTCACATGCCAAGCCTTGCATACTGCCATCCTGACTCCTCCTGCTCCGACCTGAGGCCCAGCACTGCTTCCTGATGTTTCTGAGAGTGCTGACACAGCGCCCTCCTAGCTTCCTCTTCTACACTGCCCCATCCTAACTTAACCAGAACCTACTCCTTTTCCTCACTGTGGCCTAAAGGACCTTCCCCATGACCTAGTGTCCTCCTCATCGTGGTCATCCCCTTCTCTAATCCTGAACAGTACTTTGGCTATCGGCCTTCCTTCTTCTCTGGGTCCGACCACTGTCTCTACCTGCATAGCTGGGCGCTACTGCCTCTCCTCAGTAGGCTCTCCTCAGGAAGCCCCCCCAGTGCCTGTTGAGTGCTAACACCCTCCCTGCAGCCCATAACTATGCTCTCTTGCTTCCTCATTCTCAGGACACCTTTACCACCCATCGCCATCTGTCCAAGCTATTTACAAGGACTCAGGCAGCCACCTGTCTTCACCACTGGACCATGACCTAGGAGCGGATGATGGTACTTAGCCCCAAGGTGCCCAACACATGCTTGGTGGGCAGAAGGGTGAATGAGTAAGTGGAAAGCCTCCCAGAGCCCATTTTCCAAAAGGAATACCCCCTCCCCAATGCGATCATCACATCTGTCTGTAATTATGAGGCTATCCATCCCTCCATTCCTAGTGGGAGCAGCAGCAGCTCCAGCAGCCCCCTCACACACCCATTGTGCCCATTCAAGGCACCACAGGTGGAGTCAGGGAACTTAGGACCCCTCATTCCTTCCTGCCTACTGGGGAGCTAGGGGACACTATGCCAGCACTCCTGCTTTGCCGTCCCCAGTCTACACCCCACTTTGCCCAGGTCTAAAGAAGGAATACACCAGCCGTAGGCACAGCAAGTGGCACTGACCTAGAGGATGGCAGCAGGAGTCCTGAAGCCCTTCTTCCCACCCGATCAGCTCACGCCGGCAGGCCCTGCCACCACCTCCTCAAGCTCTCCTCAATCCATCCTCCCCAACAGGCCACAGGGAACCCAGCCTAGACTACCTAGCTCATCCCTCTCCACACTCCCATCCAGTCACTGCACTGCAGCTACCTAGCACCTCCTCCACTCCCCCTGCTTTCAGTCACATAGGAAGATCCAGACTCAAGCACACAGGACGCCCTGACCGCTAGCACCCTCCAGCCTTGCTTCTTCATGTCTTTGTGGTCCCAGTGCCCGCTACACAGCCCTTCAGTTCTCACCTACTCCCATACCCACCCTCCTAACTCAGTTCCTAACTAGCTGAGGAGAGTATAGCCTGTTTGCAGCCTGTACCCAGAGCCCTTCCTCCGTGGCATACCTTCCTTGGTGGAGAGGTGGGCCCGACTGGGTGGCAGGGAGCACAGCCGATGCCTAGCGACCTGCATCAGGCCCTTGTGGGGGTTCTTCCTCAGAAAGGGGCTATTCTTTCCACGGAGGGCCTGTCTCCGTCGCTGGCTGAGGTGGGTTTTGGTGGTGGCAGCAGCTAAGGGGCTGCTCTTCTTTTCCACAGGAAGGCTATGGAGACAAAACACAAACAGCTACCAACAGGCTCCTGCGTGGATCTGCCCAACCACTTTTCTCACCCGGAGCTAGCACAGGCTGCCATACTCCCCAAGTAGAGCAGAGGAGAGTGGTCTCAACCCCTGACCCCATCCCAGGGCATCCACCCTTCCCCAAAGTGAGGTGGGCCCCTACACAGGACTAGGGGAGGAAGGGGTAGAGAAGAATGGGCTCCACGAGGAGCCGTCACCTGACCTACAAGCCATCTCCCTGGCACATCTGCAAGAAGGATACTTTAAGGTCCTCACAATAGAGGAAGGCACCAGCAAATGAGAGCAAGACCATCCTCTAGGTGCTGGGAGGAATGTGAGTCAGGGGCAGGTAACTACATACAGCACCTGTCTGGGGCACAAAATCAGAGGGAGTGAGCTTATACAAAGCCAAAGACCATGGTCAGACAGCAGGAAGAACTTCCTTAGGGGGAATCACAGCAAGGAAAGGAAGTATCTCTTGGAATAGCATGTGTGGTAGTATAGGCAGGCCCTCTTCCAGTAAGCACAGCCAGCACCCTTGCCACTAGCTGCTGACCTGAAGTTCTTGACCCTAAACACTCTGGGCTATGATGCCATCTTTGAGTCTCCCATGGTCATTCAAGGGTGGGGATCTCAGAAAGTGACATGCACTCAGAAAGCAGTAGCTAGGCCAGGTCACCTGACCACCAAGGGGCCAGCTAAGATGTCGTACCATCTGCTTCCTCTGGGATGATGGCCATTGGATACCTCAGCGCTCTTCAAAGGTGGCCAAGGCGTTCCAACCAGGGAAAGCCTGGGGACTGCAGCATGCCAGCCCCTCTCACTTCCACCCACCATGAAAAATGATACAAGCATCTGCCTGGGTCAGGGCTAGGTGTCCCACAAGACCTGACCTCCTGGAACCTAAAGCCCTAATGTGAGGGCAGAGCAGGAAAGCAGGAAAGCCGGCATCCCAGGCCACCACCTAGCTCAGACACATGGTCCATTGCTTCAGGTCAGAGCAGACACGCAGCATTCACACAGCATCCTACTCCTCTTACACACTGGACAGACTTAGGGTGCTGGTCCCCAATCAGCTCGCCTGACATGATACCACGTCTTTGAACCCTGCCCATCTGAAAGGGAAAATGCCCCCAACAACCTCCTAGTTTCTCACCAACAGGAAAAATGATGGGTCTGTGAGCATCACCAAGAGCCAGCTGAGGCCCCAAGTAAGCCCTGAATCACTTGAGCTTCACCCTACACATCTTTAAGACAACAGTACTGCCAGTACTCCTGCTAGAAACATGGCACACAATCACACGCAAAGCTCCCAGCTCAGGACACACATCAGTGGTGTTGAATACACCCAACATGGGCCTTCTTTTCCCCCAACACGAAGATCAAGAAGAAAGCACAAGGTGAGATGACACAATGGCCCAAATTCCACAATTCAGGAGCCAAAAAGACCTTGTGAGCCCCACCCTGCCCTATGCACCTAGACAGGACACAGCAGGATGGTAAGGTACACACCTGGTGCCACCACGTCTCCGGATGATCTTGGTGCGGCTCTTCACTTTGTAAGCAGAAAGCGGTGTCTCTCCAAAGATGGGCTTCAAGCTGCTAGGTCCCACTGCTAGCCTGTCTCCTGGGGGAGACCTAGATGGGACTGGAGAGAGTTGAGAGGTATGGTCCTTGCTGCCAGTCTCTGACTGCCAACGGAAGGAGGAAGAGGAAGAAGCAGAGGGGCTGGAAGCCTTCCACTTGTATTTGCTGGGGGAGGGCCCCAGCTTGGAGGAGGCAGCCAGCTTCCCAGGTCTGGTCTCTGGGTCAGCACTAGGCTGTGGTTTCTCTGTCTTTCCAGCTGTGCCAAAAGGGGCCTTGTTCATACTCTCCATAGCTGTTCTGGGACTGAGGGCTCTCCGAGTAGCCCGGGGGCTCTTTGCTGAGGCAGCCACCCACTTGTAGTTGTTTTTCCGGAATTTGTTCGTTCGACAAGACACTAGAAGGGAGGCCTCCCTGGCCTGCCTGGTCCCTGTGGCTGGTCTGACTGGAGCCACCACGGAGCCCAAGGGAGATGGCTGATCTGTACAGTCAGCATTTGCTCTCTGGTCCCCAATGAGCTGTTCGGCACAGACTGAAGAAGAATGAAGGCCCACCTTCCGGCCCTGGGCCACACGAGGGCATGAAGGAAGGACAGAGGTGGGGAAGTGTGCCTTGATGGTAATTTCACTCTCACTGACCGTCCACCGGTGCTCTGAGGGGTTGTCACTCACCCTACCCACAGACTTCACTACCCGGGGCTTGCCAGGCTCCTTCTGGCAGACCAGTAGGGGGTCCTCCACACCGTAGCCCGCCTTGATTCTTCCTGGCCTGGGCTGCAGTTGCCCACCAGGGAGCTCACCCTCATCTTCCTGGGGTCTTTGGTCACTCCAAGACAGGTCATCATAGTCTTCTAAGGAGCCCCGCTGGACGCATGAAGCATTGGTAGAGCCAGACTTTGATGGCGGTTTGATTTTGATGACCATGTTCTGATCTGGATTGAGCTGGACCTGTCTCTCTAGCACATACTGCTGGGGGTCAGGCCACTGGCTGCCCCCAGCCCTGAGAGATGTCTGCAAAGCATGATCACTCGCTGGGGCAGAGGATTCCGGAGGCTGATTCACAAGGGAGTATTTCTTGTGCCACGAAGGGCCATGGTGTGAGGAGAAACCCCTCCGACTTGGACGAGGGTAGCGGGCACCAAAGGCCCTGCCACCCTGGTAAGTGGATGGCTGCCATGGAGAAGCAGCTGAGGTGCCCAGGGCAGGGGCATTGCCATGGAGGTTTTTATAGTCATCAATTAGACCTGAGAAGACAGAATCACAGACTCAGGAGGTGTGAATTTAAACAGCAACAGTCAAGACTGCCCAGGACCCCCAGACCTCATCTCCCTCCTGAGCCCCTACTGGTTTGATAAGAGCTTCCACTGCCTGAGAACCATAGACTGTTCAGCCTCAATCTTCATTCCTGTCCTGCCTGCTTATAGTGGACATGCAGCCTTGGGATTGGGATGCCTCTATTCACTGGTCTCCTGGGTCCACAATGCTTTGAGGGCCAGTGTCACTCCATACAGAGAAACCAGTCAGGCACCGACCCGTGATGTCTGGACAGGAACAAGACAATGCCTCCACGGAGGCCCTTTGACTTGCCCACACATGCAAAGGATGCAGGACTGACTGCACCTTAGTGCTCTCCAAGAAGTGACACCTCTGGCACCCAGCACCTGACAGAAAAAAAAAAAAAAAAAAGATACGGCACACCCTTCTATAGAACCACCATCATGGGGCTTTCCAGGCTTTACTCGCTACGCCCTGGAGTAGGAGAGAAGGAACTCGGGCAGATGCACTAGGCCCCCAGTTACCAACACCCTTCTCAGAAACGCCACGTCCAGACCATGTGACACCTCCAGGTGGGTGCGTGGGAAGCCCAAGCAGCAGGCCAAAGCAGGAGCCCGGCCGCACGGACGCGCCCCAATACACGCCTTCCAGGCCTATGTGCTCTCCGTGGGAGTAACTCTGGAAACTAGATTTAAAGCATATAAAGCCCAACGTAAGTCTTAAATTTTTAGCCGAGGTACTGAGGTCTGGGTAGTCCCCGAACTACCAAGGGGCTGCGCCCGAGTCCGGCGAAAGGCAGCCAACGGCAGCGGCAGGAAACGCGCCCGGCGGTGGGCCAGGCATGCGCGGCGCCCGGACGCGACCCCGGGCCAGACCCGACACCCCCGCTCACGCCCGCCGGGACCCGCTCCCGCCCCACACCAGCCGGCCTGTCGCTCGCCGGCCGCACCCCGCAGGCCGCTGACGCCCACCCGAGCCACCCGTCGGGGGCTCGCGACCCACAACAGCCGCTTCCGGAAGGGTCCGCGGCGACCGAGGGACAGGGGACGGGCACCCGGGCCGCTGCTCCTCACCCTGTAGGAGGCGGATCTGCCGCCGCAACTGCTCCTTCTCCTCCATCTCCCGAGTCCGCGACGCCCAGCCAGGACTCTGACGTCATCGTTGCACGACCGTTTTCTGCGGGTGGGGCCGGAACAACCGAGCGCCGGAGCCCAGAGAGCCCGGGGGCCAGACAAGCAGGGACCAGAAGCAGAGACGCGCAGTTGCCCAGCAACACAGAGGGGCGCGTGCGCAGAGCGATACGGCGTGACGTCATCCGGAAGCGCCCGGAAGTGGGGGGTTCCGTAGTGCAGGTTTTGACACCGCCACTCCAGCGCCTCATTCTGGATGTGATCGCCGCCGCTTGTCCCCTGGGAGATCTGGGGGCGGTGGATTGCTAACAGTTGGCCTGGACTCAAGATGCCCCACCCCGTTTCTCTTTTCTTTTTTTTGGTCTTTTTGAGACAGTGTCTCCCTGTAGCCCCTGCTCTCCTGGAACTCACTTTGTAGACCAGGCTGGCCTTGAACTCACAGAGATCCTCCTGCCTCTGCCTCCCGAGTGCGCCACCACGCCCGGCTCTTTCCTTTTTTTTTTTGAGACAAGGTCTCACTGTGTAGACCGGTGTATGTAGACCCAGCTATGTAGACTCGCTATGTAGACCTAGCTAACCTGGAACTCACTATGTAGACTCGGCTGGCCTGGAACTTGCTATGTGGGCCAGACTGGCGGGCTGGCCTGGAACTCGCTATGTGGACCTGGCTAGGCTGGAACTCCATTATATGGATCAGACTGGTCTAGAACTCGCGTTGTAGACTGGGCTGGCCTGGAACTCGTTTTGTAAACCGGGCGGGCCTGGAACTTGGCTGGCCTGGAACTCGCTCTGCAGGCCGAGTGGCTTGGAACTCGCTCTGCAGGCCGAGCTGGCCTGGAACTCAACAGAGATCCACCTGCCTCTGCCTCCGCAGTGTAGGGGGGAATTAAAGGCATGCGCCACCACGCCTCTCAGGAAGCCCTTTTGATACCCATTTTGCAGTCGCAAGAAAACAGCAGAGAGGTGTTGAATCAGGGACTTTGGTTTGCAGGCAGAAACCGATTAGTGGGAACGGAATGGCTGCAGCCTTGGGAAAACAATATGAAGGCTCCTCAAAACTACAGCTGTGATCAAGCAATCCCACTAGATAGAAGGCACCAATTCTAACAACTTTGTACACTATTATTTACAGTAGCTAAGTGGAAACAACCCTGTAATGTCCACACAGGAATAGGTAAGCAAAATGTGTGGTACACATGCAACGGGGTATTACACAGGTTTTTTGTTGTGGTGCTAGGCCTCAAGCAGGCTGGCAAGTGCTCTACCACTGATCTACATCTTCACACTCCTTTATTCAGCATGAAAAAGAAAATGAATTTCTAGAGCCAGATGTGTTGGTGCACTCCTGTGAGCCCAGCGTGAGTTTGTGCTAAATAATATGAACCAATCACAAAAGGACATACATTTTATGACCCCACTTGTATGAAATATTAGAGTAAACAAATGTTTTGTGAAACAAGGCTTCAAGTAGCCTAAACTAGCCTCAAACTCACTATGTATCGAGGATGACCTTGAACTTCTTATTCTCCTGCCTTCACTTCCCAAGACCTGGGTTATAAGCATGTGTCCGCATGCCCCATTTTATGGACTGCTGGGGATTGAACCCACGGCTTTGTGCGTGTTAGGCAAGCAGTTTACCAATTATCTACACCCCCAGCCCAAGAATAGGCAAATTCTTGGGGGTTTGTTTTTGTTGTTGTTTTGGTTTGGTTTGGTTTTTGTGGGTGCTGTTTTGTTTTTTGAGACAGGGTCTCCTGTGACTCCAGCTGGCCTGAAATCACTATGTAGACCAGGCTGGGCTCAGTCTCACAAAGATCCACCTGTCTCTGCCTCCTTTGTGCGGGATTAAAGGTGTGTGCTACCGTGACCTACTAAGAGTAGGCAAATTCATGGGGCTTTTTTTGTTTGTTTGTTTTCTTGGTTTTTGCCTTGTCCTGGGACCTTTACTAGAACACAAAGTGACAAAGTCCTTTGAGCAGTGTCCTTCCTTGCTGCTCTCCCCTTGTCTGTCTGTGGCAGGTGAGCAGGCTCCATGGCATAACTCACACACTTCCCTCCAGGGTGGGCGGAGACCTGGTCTGTTCTGGAAGACCAGCAGCATCTGAGACCAGGGCCATCAGGGCAGAGTACAGGAACCCATCTTGTCAGGAGCTACCTATCTGGGGACAGTTGCCCCAGACCCTGGTCCTTGTAGTGGCCCAGATGAGGCTTCATTCTAGGCTTCAGGAAGGAGAACCTCTGCACCCCATAGTTCTCTCTTCAGGCTTGGGCAGAGCTCTCACGGTGCTCAGCTGGGGATACCATCATGCCTCATGGGCTGTCTCTGGGAAGAAAAGGTCTTGGCATCATTGCATGGTGTCCTGAGGAGAGACCACACTGTGGCTGATGGTCCAGGGGTCAGTATAGATATCATAGTTGTTCCCACCAGGACTGGTCTCATTTCCAGAGAAGTGGATGATGTCAAAGCTGTCCTCATCCAGGCTGTCCAGGCAGTAGCACATATCCCAGCCCTCAGGGAAGACATCAAAGCTGATCATGCCTCCTCAGGAGAACCTCAGCCCCTTTCCGGCAAACTCTGTCTTCAGGGCTTCTACGAACTTCTCCCAGATCTTTTCCTTCTTGTCCAATTCAGAGAACTCAATCCTTTCCTCCAGGGTGCAGCTGCAGCCGATTGTCAGAGATGTTCAGCATGCCGTTCTGTAACTCAATGACGGTCCCATGCTTCTTGGGAAATCTGAGCAGAGCCATGTAGCTGAGGCAGAAGTTGATCAAGTCCTACAGTAGCTCCTTCCCCAGGTGGTTCTGGATTGTCTGCCTGGAGAGCAGCCTTCCAAGCTTGTGCTGCATGGTCCCATTCTCTGCAGACACATAATCAAACTTCTCAATGACTTCATCCCCATCCCGCAGCTGCTCCACAATCTTAGAGTAGTCAGAGCCGCCCACCACACTCATCTGCACCCTACTTCACAGCTTCTGCAGGAAGGCCAATATCTCAGGGTCTATTTTCTAGCAAGTCTACGTGAGGGTCCCAACCATGTCGAGCAGAGGATCCGCTCCTTCCTGTGGGCGCCCTCCTCCGTGACAGCCATGGCTGCGGCTCCACAAGCAGGAAGGAGTCCGAATAGGCAAATTCTTAAAGATAGAAAGTAAATTAGGTTGAACATGAAGTCACTTGGAACTAAAGCACTTGGGAAGCAGAAGCAAGTGGTTTTCTCTGAGTTCAGTAGACTAGAGGTTATTAGTCTGGGGGTGAGGGAGGATGAGAAATCATTGCTTAAAGGGTACAGAGTTTCTGTTCAGAATGATGAAAATGTTTTGGACATAGTCGTGATGGTTACACAACATTGTGAGATAATTTCACTGAATTGTGAATTATCTTCCAATTCACTTGGAAGTACCTAAAACCAGTAACTTTTACATAGCATATATTTCACTACGATTAAAAACAAATTAAACCAATCACTGAACATGGTGGCCCAATCCTGAAATCCCAGTACTCAGGAAATGGAGGCAGGAGGATGAGGAGTTCAAGGCCAGCCTTGGCTACAGAGTCAGTGTGAGGAGGTGTAATATTTCAGGTTTGAATCCCAGAGGTTGAGACAGGAAGTGCTCTGAGACCAGCTTGGGCAACATAGTGAGATCCTTTAACAACAGCAAAAAACCAGCCAGACCTGGTGGTGCGTGCTTTCAGTCTCAGTACTCGGGAGGCAGAGGCAGGTGGATCTATCTGTAAGTTCGAGGCCAGGGCTACATAGTAAGCTCTCAAAAACAAACAAACAAGCAAACTATATACATATATACAGACTAGGGGGTTGGGGATTTAGCTCACTGGTAGAGCTAAAATGGTAAAATATGAGAACTGAGTTCTCCAAGAATAAGAGTACAAAAAGCAGGGAATACATGAGTAAATATAAACATTTTCTCAAAAGCAATCAAATATCTGCAGCAAAAAAATACAATATATATAATGTACCAGTGAGATGGCTCAGTGGGTAAAGCTGTTTGCCACCAAACCTGATGACATGAGTTTGATACCAGGAACCCGTGTGGTAGAAGGAGAGAACTGATTCCTGAAAGTTGTCCTCTGACTGCCACACGCGTGCTACGGCATAGGCACACCCACACATACACACACAAATAAGTACATTTATATAAATATATGATTAGAATATGTGCTCACAATGCCAAGGATTCACATGAATTGTGCTTGCACAGGTGAAGACACGCCCATGGCCTGAACCCCACTTTGTGGCACTTCCATGGCACCTCACATACAATGCTGGGCACTGTGAGGACTTCTGTGACAGTGGGGGCAGCATGCCAGGCTAAAGAGACCTAACTCGGGCAGAAGGACAAATGAGGCTAGGGAGCCCAGGCAGGCAGCCCACATGCAGGCTTCAGGAAGCAAGGGATAACCTCCCTCCCAAACTGGACATCTTTGGGGAGAGGTTGAATATCTCAGAACCACCTTTGTTTCCTGCCCCTGTCCTGAGCCTTTACTCGTCTTGTCCACCTGCTAACCCTACTCACTGTCCTAGCGCGACTCTGAGAATTTCTGCTTTTTCTCTCCAGTTATTTTCCCCCAGGGCAGCCAGAGGTGCCTCAAGGAGTAGACAGCGAACAGGCCTATAGATGACTCCAGGGTGACTCACATGCCAGGACTTACATGGATTGGCCCTGCCCACACCTAGAGATTTAAGAACCCTGGGCCTTGGGAAAACTCAGAAGGGCAGAGGGGAAACATCTCTTGTGTGTGAGATGGAATTTCCACCTGCAGTTTTTCAGGTTTTTGTTTTGTTTTGTTTTGTTTTTGTGAAAGGATCTCACTATGTCGTCCTGGATGGCCCAAGCCAGATCTGGCCTGCTGGAAGGTAAACAGCACATATTCAATCACGACTGTTTTCTATATCTCCTCTAAATTCATGTTGAAATCCTAATCCTTTGTGATGGTGTTGGGAGGTGAGGCCTTTGGTAGGTAATTAGTTATCAGGGTAGAATTCCAGGGATAGGTTGGTGCCCTAAGAGGCCAGAAAGCTAGCTCACTCCAAGTGAAGACACAGCAACACAGCAAGAAGCCTGCTCTATTTTTTTTTTGGTCTT